AAGAATAGGGAAGTTCCGAGAGCTAGGAATGTGTATGAAAGGGCAGTTGAGAAATTGGCTGATGATGAGGAGGCAGAGCAGTTGTTTGTGGCTTTTGCTGAGTTTGAGGAGCGGTGTGCAAGGTGTATCTATAAGTTTGCTTTGGATCATATTCCAAAAGGAAAGGCAGAGGATTTGTATAGGAAATTTGTGGCATTTGAGAAGCAATATGGGGATAAAGAAGGAATCGAAGATGCAATAGTGGGTAAGAGGAGATTTCAGTAAGAAGATGAAGTGAGGAAGAATCCATTGAACTATGATTCATGGTTTGATTATATTAGATTGGAGGAGAGCCTTGGAAATAAGGAGAGGATCAGGGAGGTTTATGATCGTGCAATTGCAAATGTGCCACCAGCTGAGGAGAAGAAATACTGGCAGAGATACATATACTTGTGGTAAGTTTTTGAGTTGCAATGTGGAATTTAACATTTGTGTCTTGTTAACTCTAAAAGTTGATGTGGTTAAGTATTGATGGTTTCTTTGTTTTATGCAATTCAGGATCAACTATGCTCTCTATGAAGAACTAGATGCATGAGACATTGAGAGAACACGGGATGTTTATAGGTATACCTGCTATGCTGTTTTGAATATGTTAGTTAACCTTTTGATTCAAGTAGATGAAGCTGTTGACTTGTTATATGTACAAGTGAATTGTTCTTAGCAAGTGCTTTTGCAAAACCCTGTTCAACCTTCATTACATTTGACAATATTACAGTGGGCTTACTGTCCCTAGCGCAGAGATAAGTCCACTGATTTCCTAGGTCCAACAATCAATTTCTTATAACTTTTTTAATTTGTAATCAGTATGCAGCAACAATGTTTTTTACCTTGTTTAACATAACATTATTATTAATATGAATTTTAGTCTTGGAAGTTCTACAGCCATGTCTTTCTTTATCTCTGAGTTCCCATAGTTTTCTGGTTGAATATGGAAGATTAATACTTGTATACGAGACATTGGTTGCATCAAATTTGTTTTAATAATCTGTTATCAGTCTGTTGGGGGACCATAACATGAGAGCTCCTGTGGTAAGTGAGAATGACCCAAATAGTTTAACAATTTTTATTGAAGTTTCAGAAACTGTAAGATTTGTAACTTGTCAAATTTAATATCTTTATATATGGGATATTATTTTTCATATTTCATCTCAAGTGGTCAAACATAGATAACTTTCTAGTGGTGTAAAAAGTATACATTTAGCAGAGGTTGATGTTGTATTCTCTTGTGTCTCTTGCTTGGGGATTAGATCATAATGGATTAAATCCCTCTTGTTAGGTAAATAATGAACCTCTGACATCATCTGTCTTGGAATGTTTATATGAGTGGGTTATGAGAAGCAAGATTTGTGCTGCCAGCAATACTAGTTTGATTTCCTAGAAAAGTAGCAAGAGAGAACTTCATTAAAAATTGGGCTTTGCAGCAATTGTCTATGTAGCACCAAGTTTCATCGAGAGGCAGTAGAGGTAACACTTGGATGGATTTTATTTTTAAAGTCACGTTTGGCAAAAGGAAAGAGAGTTTAAGTATTGGTTAAAATGTCCATTATTGATTTCTTTCATATATAGTGGAAATTTAAAGAAATGGAATTCTATTTTAGTTGCTAGATTTTGCATACAGTTACACTTATGTTGCTTATTCAATTTGATTTGTTTTATGGGGTTCTTCTTTCTTCTTGTCTCCTTCTCTTGGTTGTGCCCTCAATGCTCTCCCATGGATATAGTTTTACATTTATTTGTTTAATAATGTAATTCATGGATAGATAGATCCCAAGACATTGTAGGTCTTCTGATTCACGGTATATATTTTTAGGGAATGCCTGAGCCTTATTCCTCATAAGAAGTATTCATTGGCAAAGATTTGGCTTCTAGCTGCCCAATTTGAAATTCGACAGCTGAATCTTGCTGGTGCTCGACAAATTTTAGGCAATGCCATTGGCAAAGCTCCCAAAGACAAGGTAAAATTTGGATTACTACTACAGTGTTGATTATTTATATTGGAATGTATGGTTCTGTTCTCAGTTCCACTATTTGGCTTGACAACTAACAGATCTTTAAGAAATATATCGAAATAGAGCTGCAACTTGGTAATATCGATCGTTGCCGGAAGCTTTATGAGAAATATTTAGAATGGTCACCAGAAAATTGTTATGCTTGGAGCAAATATGCAGAACTGGAGAGATCGCTGGCTGAAACTGAACGAGCACGAGCAGTTTTTGAACTTGCTATAGCACAGCTAGCCTTGGACATGCCAGAATTGTTGTGGAAGGTAATTGCATATGATTCCTCTTACTAAAAATGCCCAAGCATCTGTCTGTTTACCAATGTTGTATGTTGGCTGTCAGATTTGAACTGTGTTATACTATGCTTTTTATTGATTCTTGGTTTATCCTAGTGATTATAGCTTTAATACTCAATATATATATGTTGCATGAAAATGGAAACGTGGAAATGTGAAAACGATACAAGAAAATGACAATCTAAGTATAATTTTACATGGGGAAACAGTATTTTATACGAGAAACAGACATGCGGAAATGCCCATGGCTGAGAGTTTCCGTGTATCATACATATATGCGCGTGTCTGTGTTCAAATTGTTGCTGGGGTGTGCATATATTTTTCTTTGCAACATCAATATTAGTCATGTATGAATGTAGTTGCCTATAGTGCTGTTCTCACTTTCACTTGCAACCTTCCTCAGAAAAAAAATTAAGAAAGCACTAGTAAATCATCCATCCTCATCCTCCACTTATTTATTTTTCCTTTTTCCCTAGTGTTGTGTCTGTGGTTGTCAGTGTGTTAACATTCTGTCCCCAACCCCCCTTTTTTTCTTATTGTACGAGGTATGGGTGTATTAAGACCATCTATAACTTGTATTTTGTGGTGTTGTTTATTTTGTAGACTGAAACTGGCTGAAAAGTACTGATATAGGTATTATCATTATGGTTCCCATCACAGCTCACTACCCACACGCATCCCTTTTCCCAAACCCTAACCAACATACACATTGCATTAATTTTGAATAAATATGGCTATTCCCCTTGTTTGTACTGCAGTTTATCCAGGATCAGGTATTTATAATTTACCAGTTATTACATTTATATGGCTATTTCTTTTTAAGTAATGTGGCCTACCCAGAACAAGTAATTTACTATTTCTCAAGGAATTACTAGCTTATCTGCATTATCATGCTCTTTCTTGATTTTTGATAAATTGCCATGCCTGAATCTGATCAAGGTATCATGTATGACATTATTGTCGTGTGCTGCAGCAGTGGAGGACCATTTTACCAACCTATACCCAGTCTAGGACTAGGCACAAAAAGTGAAAACTTTTCCATTCTTCATTTAGAATAAACTTTCATTCTGAAAGTGTGACATTTCTTTTCATTTAACCACAGGCATTTATTGATTTCGAGATCTCCGAAGGTGAATATGACAGAACTCGACGACTTTATGAGAGACTATTGGACCTGACAAAGCATTTGAAGGTCTGGGTTAGTTATGCTAAATTTGAAGCATCTGCCATGGATGAGGTTGTTGACAGTGCAGATTCTTTGGAAGAACAGAAGAAAGAGTGTATTCAAAATGCAAGAAGTAAGCTCTCCTCATCTGTTTTATCTTTCTAGTTGGTTTCTGGGTAAATTATTTGGTCATTAGAGATCTTACATTTCATTTTTCTCATTAGGGGTATTTGAGAAAGCCATTAACTACTTCAGAACATCAGCACCTGAATTAAAGGAGGAACGTGCAATGCTTTTGGAAGAATGGTTGCACATGGAGACCAGTTTTGGGGAGTTAGGTGATGTTAGCTTAGTCCAGCCTAAGCTGCCTAAGAAACTCAAAAAGAGGAGGCCTATTGCTTCAGAAGATGGTGTGGCTGGGTAAGTCACTTACGAGTTAGTTCAAATATAGTCCTATGCCTGATCTAATATAGTTTGAAAAAAATCACACTGCAATTGATGTTATTTTCCCCATATCTTCCTGTCGTTTCACTTGTTCCACAATAAATTTTCTTTGAGGTGCTGTTCAATTTCATGAGCTTCTTTGTTATCTTTGATAGCAGTTGGCTAACCAAGTAACTGCTGGCAGGTTGGAGGAATATATAGATTACATATTCCCAGAAGAAACTCAAGCGCCAAATCTGAGGATCCTGGAAGCTGCATGCGCCTGGAAGAAGCAAAAGCTTTCTACCGAGGATTAAACATATTATGCTTATTTTGTGGCATATTTTGCAACAGCGTACATACTATTTAGAGAGGGAATAAGTTCTTGAGTTGGCAAAAAACAATAGCTTTGGCAGACACATTATGCTAATTTTTGTAGCGTGTTTTGCAGCTCTGTACATACTACTATTTAGAGAGATGTTAAGTGCTTGTGTTGAAAAAAAAAAAAAAGAAAGAAAACAATAGCTTTAGTTGCGAGAGATATTATGTTCTTATGTTGACAAAAAATAATGGTTTTGGCGGCACAACTATTCTTTTCAGAGAAGGGTTAGTAATGGGTTGTTTGAGAGAGGCAGAAGAGTGCGGAAGAGTATCACCTGGATCAGAAAGCCTGAAGTGTGGTTTTGGGGAAAAAAAATGATAATAACACTGTCTTTCATTTCTTAATGTCTTTTATTCTATAGCTTTAGTTTTTATTCTAGCACCTGTTTTGAGTGAAGTATCCTTGAAAGTTTCTATATTAGCTATATCAATAGCATTGTATTGTATCAGCAGAAATTACAGCTGGGTTTAAATTTCAGAATGTGAATGAGGACTTTTCATGTCCATGTCAATTTTATAGAGAGTGATCTTATGTTTAAATGTACAAATATGTCAGTTCCAATGCAACCTTTTGTGCTGAAAGAAAAGTAAAGAATGGTGAATTTTGCAAGGTACCATATAAAGGTCCAAGGAGAAATGCATGATGAGAAGCAATTGCTGTTCAAGAATCTTTAATTAAACGCAAAGCCATGAGATTATTTATTGGATTGAAAATAACGGGGTTTTCCCATTTCCAATCTTGGTGGATGTGGTGGTTTAAAATCAGAATTCATGGGAAGAATGGGTTAATGGTTCTCAATAATGTTTTTCCTTTTCAAAGAATTAATAGTCTGTACATAGTTTCACAAGTTGTTTTCCTTTTCTGTTTGTTTCCTGTGAAAATAGAGGAAGCTTTTCCTGCAACATTGTTCTTTCCTTTTTTCTCTTTTTTTTTTTTAACACTGTTATTATGCCAATTTCGCTATTATGTTATAGAAACAGTACTTTCAATTAATAGATTTTCAAATATTTTTAGCCGTTTAGAGGACCTTGTTGATCAATTTGTTTAAACAGAGTGCAGTAGAAATGGCTGCATTCAAACTCCAGAAAACCCAGAGCCTGTTTTCTTCTTCATATAAAACCTCCTCCTTCTTCTCCACCTGGTACTCTCCGCCGCCGCCGACTCCTTCTTACCATGAAGATCCGATTCTCTCAACTATCTCCGACGCAATTAAAAACTGCGAATCAAAGCCACTTCAAGTCTCGCTCAAGAAAATCCTCCCTTCCCTCAAAGCTCATCATGTTATCAATCTCATCAACAAAAACCCTAATTCTCTCTCTCCACAGTTTATCTTTTCTTTCTTCAACTTTCTCTCGTCATGCCCCACCTTTCGCCACACAATTCAGTCTTATTGCACCATGGTCCATTTCCTATTTGCCCGCCGAATGCATTCTCAAGCCCAATCTCTGCTTCATTTCGTTGTCTCTCGCAAAGGAAAAGACTCTGCTTACTTAATTTTTGCTTCAATTCTTGAAACTAAAGGTACCCATTTATCAAATTCTGTTCTTGATGCTCTAATGAATGCTTATACAGATTTAGGATTCGTATCAGATGCTATTCAGTGTTTTAGATTGATAAAGAAACATAATTTTCAAATCCCATTCCATGGTTGTAAGTGTTTGCTTGATAGAATGATTAAAACCAGCTCGCCTTTAGTGGCTTGGAGGTTTTATCTTGAGATTTTGGATTCTGGATATCCTGCAAATGTATATAATTTCAATCTTTTAATTAATAGATTGTGTAAAGAGGGTAAAATTACAGATGCTCATATGGTTTTCGATGAAATAGCAAAGAAGGGTTTGCGGCCTACTGTTGTCAGTTTTAATACTTTGATCAATGGCCATTGTAAATTAGGGAATTTAGAAGAAAGTTTTAGGTTGAAGATGGTTATGGAGAAGAATAGGATTTTTCCTGATGTTTTTACTTATAGTGTTTTGATCAATGGCTTGTGTAAGGATTTTAGGTTAGATGATGCTAACAAGTTGTTTGCCGAAATGTGTGAGAGAGATTTGGAACCGAATGATGTTACTTTTACCACATTAATTAGGGGGCAATCCAAGAGTGGTAGAATTGATTTGGCCATGGAAAATTATCAGCAAATGTTAAGAAAAGGCCTGAAACCTGATTTGATTTTGTATAATACACTCATTAACGGCCTTTGCAAGGTTGGGGATTTTGAGGAAGCAAGAAAGCTTGTTGATGAGGTGCATAAGAGACGAATGAAACCTGATAAGATCACATACACCATACTCATAGATGGTTATTGTAAGGAGGGAGATTTAGAATCAGCTTTGGAGATTAGGAAGGTAATGTTGAAGGAAGGAATTGAGCTTGACAATGTAGCATTCACTGCCCTGATTTCAGGATTATGTAAAGAAGGTAAGATAAATGATGCAGAAAAAACATTGAGGGAAATGCTGAAAGCAGGTTTAAAGCCGGATGATATGACTTACACTATGGTCATGGATGGATACTGTAAGAAGGGTGATGTCAAGACCGGGTTCAAGTTGCTCAAAGAGATGCAGAGTGATGGCCACGTACCAGGAGTTATAACTTATAATGTGCTTATGAATGGACTCTGCAAGCAAGGTCAAATGAAAAATGCTAATATGCTTTTAGATGCTATGCTTAATTTGGGAGTAGTTCCAGACGACATAACTTATAACATTTTATTAGAGGGTCATTGCAAGCATGGAAATTTAAAAGACTTGCATAAAGTAAAGAGTGAAATAGGACTTGTGGCAGACTATGCATCTTATAAGTCACTACTTAATGAGCTTAGCAGAGATTCAAAAGATTTCCGTAAGAGATGATTTCTGCCGGTCAAATGAGTGTTGGGTTTTCAGATTTGGTTAACATAGCTGATGAGCGGACTTAAAAATGATTGGGACAAACTTCAACCGAGTGATTTGGAGAAAATTGAAGTCCTTTGTTTCGGCGAACTGGCCGTTGTATTTGACTTCAACCCAATTATCCCCAAGGATTACGATGGCCTTTTACAGGTTAGTGGAATTCCTATGCTGAAAATTCCAATCCAATTACTCATTGATTTACTATTTCTCAATTTGTTGAAATACTCATTCTAACGCTTATTGGCTAGTCCAACTGTAAATGCAAAAATTATGAATGACTGAACCTATTACACGAATATAATATTTGGAATCAATAAAAATCCAAAGGAGATTGTTATTCTATAAGTAGATATATTAGCTGCATGACTTTATTAACATACATTAAGTGGGGGAAGAGAAAAAATCTTCAAGAAAGCCTGCAAAATTAACAAATTGGATACATGAATAGAAGTTGTTTTCTTTTATAAGATTTCCATTGCTTTTTATTATTGGTTTACTATTCCTTCCCAACTCAATTACTAGTTTGATGCTTCTCTTGCTCTGACTTCATTGCAATTTATAAATTTGTTTTTGGTCTTTACTTACATGTCATCCATTAGGGGTAAAGGGACGCCTTAATTAGAATTGAAATTTTTTTTCACCGATAGGTTTTGTTGCTGCACCATTAAAGATCCAATCTGAGTGAAAGTAATCAGCAAAAGAGGAGAAAAATACTCTGAAACGAAAGTGTTGTAAGTAATTAAAGATGTATTCCTTTTGTTGGAATGTTTGAGATTTTTACTAGAGATATCTTTTCCAGAAATTAGATGATAAAATCTAAAGTTAATTGTGAATGTGTATGTCCTTGAGTTGAAGAATGTTGTTTGAAGTGAAGAAATGTGTTAGTTGTTGTGTTAGGTAGCAATAATGCTCTTCTTGTCTATGTAATCTGCTGCTACATAAAGCAACCTTTGTTAGGGAAAAATGTAGAGAGAAGAATGAAGAGAGTTAGAGAGTTGTAAGAAACTTATGTTCAAAATGAAAAGGAAAAGAAAGAAATCTCTGTTTATATTTCATAGTTGGGTTTGTCTTTTGATCCTTCACCATATTTTGCTGTGTTAGTATTGTTTTTCATTCTGATAAATGGAATCAGTTTCATTAATAAAGCTGAAAGAAGTGTACATAAACACACACACACACAATGTACATGTCAAAGCAGAGCTCTTCTTAAGCAACAGATACAAATACATAAAATAAATTTTATATCTCCAAACTCTATCTAAGAATGTTACACAGTGCATACTGATGATTTGCTAATGTGAAAATTGACAAATCAGAATCAAACTTCAGTGACCTATGGACTGACTGGTTCATTAGAATTTTTAAATAGATGAATTTGTTTAAATGGATGAATTTTAAATTCTAAAATTTGTCTACTTGATTTGCTTGGGCTGAGCTTTCCAGTAGCCCATGAATTCAATTATACCGACTAATTAACTAAACCTTCATCAAACACTCATTAGTCTATTCATCAGCTGTCAGCTATCCATTGGTGGATTCACTGTCTGAGAAGAGCGATCAATTTGCGTTTTTTTTTTTTTTTTTTTTTTTTTTTTTTTTTTTTTTTAATTTATTTAAAATACCGGGTTCTTTGCATTATATTTAATTTATGCATATTTTTTTTATCCCTCTTTTTCAAAGAAATTTTATATATTTTGAACTCTTTTTTTTTTTTTTTTTTTTTTTTTTTTTTTTTTTTTGAATTTATTTAAAATATTGCATTATATTTAATTATGCATATTTTTTATCCCTCTTTTTTTCAAAAGAAATTATATATTGACTCTAGAAAAGAATATTAGTAGCTAACAATATTAAATAGTTGAATTAAGTCAGATAATAAAAGGCAAAAAGAAGAAAAGCAAATAACTAATCATACAAATTATCTTGATATGTTCTACCTTTCAAAAGAGAAAAGAAATAAATAATAATTTAAGACAAGAAGCAAGATTACATTTGTTCCAGTTATTTTTCAAGTAAATTATTATTTAGTCCTTAGTGAAATTAACTACTTAGTTCTTACCTTAAAATATATTATTTACTCCTGTAATTTGCAATCAGTAGATTATATATATTTTAAATATCTAATGAAAAGATAAAGAATTCTTACGCCAGACAATTTAAATATTTAGGCTTTATGTTCCGGATGCAGATATATATCATAGATGAAGACAATTCTCATAGAATTTAAATAAATGGATGAAATGGAGGAGTGTTATACATGTACTATAAGGTATTTAACGAAATTAAAGACAGGTAATAAAAGTAATAAATCAAAAAACTCATTAGGTAATTTGTTTTTATTTACTTAAATTAAACTCTTTAACTTTTTGTTTTCTACTGCTTAATTGAGAAGAGAGATATTTAGAATAAAAAGGTAATGAAATTATAACATGAATATATTATGTTTGATGTTCATATTATAAACCCACTCAAAAAAAATTTTTGGATCTACCACTACTCTTACATATCAATTCGTAAATGTGATAATTTGATAATAAGATACTAAAAAGGGAAGAGATCAATCTAAAACTATTTGAAGAGAAATCATGAAAAATTTACTGTCTTTAGATATTAATAAGAGTTAGTTTTTGTTTGTTGTCTATTTTAGTGGGCAGTTGCTATTTTATTGTCAGGGCTAACCGTTTTATAGTTTGCTTCCAAACGCTTAACACTAGTACGTACCAAATACATGGATAAAGAGATAGTATTTTGACTTTGATGAAACTACTAAACGCACACTGAATGCTATTTTAGAAAATGTGAACATGACTTTAGTCTAGAAAGTTAGAATCCAAGTCCATGGGCCTAAGAAATGGGCTGCAATCAATTCATGCCAAGCCAATATTAGGAGAAAACCCAGCCCGAGCTCAATATTTGACAAAATTTACATTCGTAATTTACTATTAAGTCCCTGAAATCTAATCAAAATTACTATTTCAATAGTGAATGTGAGAGACTAATAGAAATAATAATATATTAATCGTAAATTACCAAATAATTAAATATTATAAAAAATTTAACGATAAAATTAGCACTCATGAATGGAAGATAAATAATTTAACAATTCAAATATTTTTCCAAATAATAGAATCGAAGCTATAATTTCAGCAAATCTTCAACTTCATAATCATTTTTAATCTCTCAATTCTTTTAATATATGAGTTTTCCAATGAGAATTTTTAGAACATTACACTTTATAATTAATTAATTATTTTTAACAAAGATTCAGGGAAAGGAATTACTGTAATTATTTTAACTTCTCAGAAAATTAATAAATTCACTTCTTTCTGTGCATAAAATAATTTTTAAGTTTATCTTAGTTAACTTCAAGTTTCTATTCATTATATTTCTTATTTTATCCTTTTTTTTCTTTTTTTATTTCAAAATATTTATGTCGTTTTACAGTCATTTTTCATTAATGTACTTTTACTTTTTAAGAATTTAATATAATAATTTGACATTTAAAATATATTTTCTGAAAAGTAATTTTTTAATACTATATTTTTTTGGAAAATAATTTATCAAAAATATATTTCCGAAATAGTAGGTGACCTTAAAAAAGTTGAGCCGCCATGGACTTGGATAAATTGAAATGATTGCAAGTATTGGGGCCCAGCGGTCAACTATTGAAGTTTCCTTCCTTTGAAAAAGAGAGTCGTAGTAGGAGTAGGAGTAGGTAACAAATGTATGGACCAAACCCGTTTTTCATTTTCAAGCCTAAAAACAACGAGAGGAAGAGATTTTATATTATAGGTCTGTCCCCTAATGCTTATCCGCGATCTCACGTCTCATTTCTCAATAATTGAATGAGATAGAATTTTTTGAGTTTGGTCTATAAATTAAATGCATGAGATAGGTACTAATTTATTGACTTTCACCCTCGTTAGGTTAAGTGTAGTTGGATTGACTTCTTATTTATATAAAGAGAGTAAATTTTTTATTAATTTTGAAAGTGAAGTTAAAGACTACACGTGCAGTGTAATCTCTAATATTTTCATTTACATATTATGCTTCAATTATAAAAATATTTTAAAAATGCTAACTCATTTAATTTAATTCATAATCATCTCTATAAATTGACGCGTGTAAATAAATTACTTTATAAAAAAAATTTATTTTTTGGGATTGTGAAAAGTGGAATTTTTGACTATTATTGCTGAAATTTAATAAAGTTTATTGTATAAACTTTCTGCAAAATAAAAAATTCTTCATACTTAATAATTACTATCTATGTTCCATAATTCTAGTCACATTTGAAATTTCACATCTTTTAAAAAAATCATTAAATTTATCTAAATGATAATAAATTATTAAATAAATTGACTATATTACCCTTAATTTAATCCTAATTCTCTAAAAAAAACCATTAAATTGAAATAATAATTATTGGTCATATGTAAAGGATAAATATGAAAAAAATATTTATTACTCTTTGAAACCACAAATGTGACAGGTATTTTAGAACAAACTATTCTCTCAAATGTGATCAGTATTATAAAATAGAGGTAATAATATATTAGTTAAAAGTTTATTAAAATTCATTAACTAAGACAATACCTTAATATACTTATTATTAGAGGAAGATAATTTATTGGTAAAATTGATAGAGTTGTGTCATTAATCATGGCATAGAGAAGCTAATTTTAATGCTGATTATCTATCTAAATTAGCTAGAAATTTTCCTTTTGGTTTACAAGCGATGTTAGAACCACCTTTAGATATGGCTTAGTGGCTTAACCATGACTCATGTGAAATAGCCCACCCCACCCTAGAATGTGTATGTAATCTCTAGAGCATATCTCTCGATTTTTACCAAATAATAATAATAATAATAATATGTATTATATTTAATTTATTTTGCAAAAAAGGCATTGGTTCAAGGAACAATTTCATAAATATTTTGTAACAATGAGAATATCAATATATCATTGACCTCATAGTCTAATAATTGAACAGTGTTTGGTTGGTTTGAAACCTGCCAATCACATGGCTGCATGGCAGAGGAAGACGAGAAGAAGAAGAAGAAGAGGGCAGCAGAATCCTTTTCTCCTGTTTCAGCGATTGTCACCACTCCCGCTATATGACAAGCCAGTTGTGGTTAAAACTTTGGGAGCTATTTTTTGGCAGACTTTAACATTTCCATTCTTGATGTTTCAAGATTCTACAAGTTCCTCCGACAACCACTGAAAATGACAGGAGAAGCAAGATTAGGGCAGGAGGCGCTCAATCATTTTTTTTGACCAAATTCTGGGAAATTTCGAGTTGATTATCACCGCCGCCACCATTGGACTCTATACCTTGAGTTGGTTCTAATGGTGTAAGCCACCTCAGAGGACACTGACTGTAAATTTTTGTACTCCTTAACGTGTTGAAGTTGATTCCAAATTTGGTTTCATATAAATAATCTTGGGGCTCTCATGATTTATAATTTAGAATTTGAATTTTCATTGTTTAAATCCTGATGAAATATTATTTGGATTTTAAGTTGTCATTTAGCGATTGGTTTAGGAGGCAATAATTAGATTCTTTGAAGAATATGAGTTAGTTTGGACATGTTAAATTTAATTGTGATCAAGATTCAAGATGGAGTATGTCTTTTTTTTTTTTTTTAATGGGATATGTACGTATGAATATGTTTCTATATTTTTATATAAAAAGTCTAATAATAAACCATTAAAAATACAATCATGATTTGAAGTATCTGATCGATATGACAGAGTATAATATTTGAATCACAGGCGATTTGCTTTGTTTGACTCTATAATCTTTCTACAAGTCTGATAGGATTATTTTCAAATTTTTTTCTTTGTAGTATAGAGGAGATTCACACTTCTTTCTGCATAACTATCCAAATAAAAGACGCTGGATAAAATTATTATAATGGTGATAATGACAACAATAACTCAAAAGAGAAAAAATCCCAATATATGGACAATAATAAATCTCAATATTTGGGCTACAGTAACTTAGATTTATATACAAACTTGAGAAATAATTGTGAAAAAAAAATAAAAAAGAGAAATGGGTGATCACTGGTGAGAGCTCACATGGTGACTACCCATGGAAAAAAAAATAGAGGTTTTAGATTTTAGGTTTTGGAAGAGAGAGATGAAGTATTTCTTAATTACTTGTTAATTAGTTTGAATAGATACTAGAATGGATTTGTTATTGAATTTATTAATTTCAATTCAATAAGGTTATTAATTGTGATAGTGAGAAATTTTCTCTTTTTTGTTTTGGAAGGATAGTGAGAAATTGAGAATATATCTTTTCTATAAGTTATAAGAAAATATTATAAGTATAAAGATTAAGTTTTGAATGTTATGAGCTTATATTTGAAAGTAAACATTAAAGATATATACATATACAGAATGCGGAATGATTCGGCATTTTTTTTTTTCAACTTTCAAATTCCTTTCACTTTCAAAAAAAAATTATTTTCTTCAAAAAGGATAAGAGTTTACTTACAGTCAATGTATCAATCGAAATAAAATAGAAAATGGTAATTAGATTTCGGTTGGAACACAGATTTATTGTGCGGGCAAAAATAATTTTTCTGGGGAAAAAAAAAGAAAAAAAAATAAAACATGCAAGCTGTTTGGAGTTTCGAAAATCATTTTCACATTTGCTAATACACCAATAACTAATTATAAAGATAGTGACAAATAATTGAAAAAAGGCTGGAATGGGCTTGCAATATTGCACAACAGCAAAAACTTAGAAAACGTAGGGGACCAATACCTTCTAGAATATATATATGCCAGGATCCAAGAAATTAACTGTATATGTTTCAAATGATTTTCTCGTATCTTATAAATAATGTGAAAAAAAATGAAACGTTTTAAGTTCTAATATTCTCAATTATAAATATTATTATAAATTTGATGAATGTAATTTCAAAAAATTATAAAAACCATCACGGATTTAAATTGAAATTATTTAAAAAGAAGGATTATTCTAACCATAAAATGCAGATTTCAAACTTTAAATAATAAGTAAAATATTATATGTTATTTTATTAAAATATTTTCTTTTTTATTTTTATCCACATATTCAGATATTGAATTCTATTCGGAAGACAGAATTTTTTATACGAATTTTTTATTTAAATCACTTTTTCGTTAGATTTCGATACTGAAAATTAAAGAAGAAAAAAAAAATACTAGGAATTTTAAACAGCACAGATGCCAAGATGCGAAAGACTCAAAAGAGACAGTTTTGTAACTTTTGTTGGTAGTAATTGATTCAAAGAAAACGGTTGCTTTGGTTTCTTTCTTTGTTTCCCTCAAAGAAAGTGAAAGAAAATTCCAAAGCAAAAAGGCCAAAAGGGAGCGTGCTACCACCGCATCTACTGGCTGCTGCTGCTTCTGCTTCTGCTATAATTTCCACAGCTTCTCATGAAATGGCAGAAAGTGATTTAAAAACACTTCGCCTTTTGCTCTTTCGCCAGCTGTTCCCCCTTCTTTCTATCCTTTCCTCTTCGCTTCTTCTATCTAAAGCGAGTAACGACTATTTTTTTTTTTTTTTCTTGTTCTTGGTAAAATGGTAAAAGCAAAAAATAAATAAATAATATTACTAATGCATTGGAAGTATGTGAATTGGATATTTGGATGTATGTGTTGTGCTTTTTTTTTTTTTTTTTTTTTTTTTATTTGGATTTTTGGGATTATGTGTTCTTTTTTTTTTTTTTTTTTTTTTTTTTATGATCGATGATGATGGTAATAATGAATTTAAATATGAAATTATAAATGTAATAAATATTTTAAAATATAATACTTTTTTAAATATGAAAAGTATTTAAAAATAAAAACAGTATCCTTTTGGTTAATTTTTAAGGCTGCATAAAAATCAATCTGAATAGAAAAAAATTAGTTGTTTTATATTAAAATAAACCAAACTGTTTATATTAAAAATCAGATGAATCTGAGTTGAATCGGTTTAATCATACTATACTCAATCTTGGCCTACTCAGGATTCCAATCCAAGAAATCACTATTGATTAAATTAGCTAAAAATGAAAGATTATTTTGGTACATAGGAAAAAGTAGGGCGGCGGAGAAAGGGGAAATGGAAATTCAACGTAAAGTGAAATGATGGTTGAAGTTAATTAGACCGACAAGCTCACAAGTTAGAAATGATAGAAGAAGATATGAAGTAAGCGTGAGTGGACACGTGCCAGGTTAATTTAAAAGTGAATTATTTAATCTTAATCTTAAATTAATAAACCACAGCATATTTTAATCATGATGCGAATGTCGGGAATTTAAGAATACAATCTTTAGGATTTTAGTCGGTGATTGAGTTTTGAACAAGCTGTCTTCTACTTCCCATGCATCCGAACCATTGTCTGGCCCCACCACTTTCCATCTTCAAATACTAACACTACACTTTCCCCTTTCTTATTTTCCACATACTTATAAATTTTAAATAAATTAATCAATAATTTTTATTCTCATTTGTATATTAATTAGAATTCAACTATTTAGATTTAAATTAAGAATTATAAATAAATTTTAGTTTAGTTAAATTCGAAGATTGTGGTCCAAGGTTGATAGATACTTTACTTGGAATCTTTGCAATTAGCGGCATAAGTCTTTCCACTGATGCCAACACCAAATCTCTTAACTTACCTATTATTACTATACTATATCAATACAATCTAAATGAGTCAAACAAGTCATAAGTTATTTGACTCTCATTTAATAAATTTAATCAATCGTAGCTCGATTAATAAACAAATCGAATTCAATTTAAATTTTGAGTTGTTTTATTATAAATAATAAATTAATTAAACTTGAATTCAATAAAATTTAATTATGCTTAGTCCTTTATAATTTTTATTTATCCATTTACTTATATGGCCTCATAATTTTCATGCATTAATACTTCTTCCTGAATTTTAAAAGCTTTATTTGCAAATTTAGTTGTCTCACACCTTTTAAATATAATAAAAATAAAAAAAAAAAATTTGACAAATAGATGACACAACTACTATCTGGAAGTACATAGTAATATTATGTATTTTACAATAAAAACAAAAATAATGAGTTCAAGTTGGGCCCATAAACATAAATTCAAAAGAACAAGGAAAATGAGAAGACAACAAATAATTAATATTCAAGCTTTGGTAGTACAAATACAATAAATAATTTAATTTAAGCTATGGTTACTTTCATATAAAACGAAGACAAATATTTTTACACCACTCGATTAATTTAAATTCACTCACATACCGTTAATTAACAAAATTATGAGATGTTTTACATAATAATTAATAAATTAACTAATATAATGCAATAAAATACCATTCCCGTGAACTTACACTCTATTTATCACTTAATGTTAGTTTAATATGGGCCGTTCGATTAGATTACTATTGCCAACCATCGCTGATATTTATTTTGTACAGAGTCTTTACATTGAATATCCGATTTAATTCCTTCCTGGCCAGATAAATTCATGCTGTGGTCCACTGTACCAGCACCACTTTATGATCTGCTACAATCGGCCTTACCGAACCCCACCCTTCGGTTAGCTAGATCAAATTCCACCCATAGATTTTGTTGATGAAAGTTCCCTATTATATTACTAGCCGCCCCTAACATTTCGGACCGACCGATTCCGACACAATGGACCCCATTCCCTACATTAGCCAGGACCCTCTCTCTATCTACCACAATCTCAACTCCTTTCTCGAATTCAAACACCATATTTCCTATCAACCGTCCGATCTCCACTGGATTTCCATCAAAACACATATCCGATACTCCACCGTACACATAGTTCTTCTTTAACTTTGTCCCAGCCACTCTCACTATTTCCTCCCTCACTTTATTATATGCCTCATCCACCAAGTATGTGAACTCGGAGCCTGAATCTACCATGGTCTGGCCCGAACCACTCGGGTCGGGCCTGAAAACAGATGCGGGAATGTTTAATCTTGTGTTTCCAATCCTAATTCCTTGCATTGGAACCGTGTAGGCCAAAGGGTCCAGATTAGGTGAGCGTTGACTTGGAGTAAAAGTCAAAAGATTTATGTAATGAAACCCACCAGAATTAGGATTGTCACCCAAGTAAAACAACCCAGTCGGTGACAACCCGGCCCGATTACCCCGGGTCGGTACACAATAAGAGAACTTAGATATTTTAGCCTGGGAAGCAAATGATCGCCGCCCAAGATTCATCCCCAAAATACCCTTGTCATCGCCGGAATCCTCAGCGCAACCAAGGATCAAAGGAGGGGTACTTTGGGTATTAGAGAAGGTAAACTTTTCTCTGACGAGACTACCCTCAGCTAGAGTACCGTCAGCGTAGAAATAAGAATAGTGGCATAAACGATTCTGGTCACAGGTAGTCGGGAGAGTAAAATCGGGAATTCGGGGCTTACAAAGAGGGTGATTGCAAGGCAAAACGGAGAAAGAAGACGATAGAGAAGGATCAAACGACGTCGTAGGAGGAAGTTTTCTGGGAGCTTTTTTGTGACACTGAATCCAGGAAAGTTGACTCCCAGTGTCTAAAACCATTTGTTGAGTCTGAGGAGGAGTCCCTATAGGTAAAGAGACAATCAAAGCCATTGAATACTTAAACCTTGATCTGTAATTATAACCAGAGGTTTGAACATGTTGGTTCCGTTTGGTTTGCGAAATAAAAGAAGATTGAAAAGAAGGATTTTGGGAGCGAGGAAAAGAATTAAGAGGGAAAGAGAAGGAAAAATTAGAAGTGTTTTTTATTTGGGTTTGTTTGGTTGGGAGAGAAAGAAAGGAAAAAAAGAGAAAGAAGAAGAGAAAGAAAGGCATGGCGACAGTTTGGTGGAGGATGTGCGTGTTTTAGTGAAATGGTTAAGGTACAGTGGCAGTGGGGGTCTATATTTATATGGGGATTTGGAAGGAGAGAGGAGTAAATAAAAGCGCAAAAGAGGAAAATGTTGGAATAGGAAGGCGACGCGTTTTCTTAATTAAGCGGTTAGATCTTATGATGGAGGCTACTTTAATTGCAGCCTTGCTGCCTTGCATTTGTGTTAACTGTTAAGCGTATTTAATATCATAATAGACAAATTTTTTTTTAAGAGAAAACGTAAATAAAATTAATTGTTGGTATTAATTAATTATTTTTTAAATTCCTATGAAAATATAAATAAGTTATTTTTTTCAAAATAATATATATAAGTGTATTTTTATTGGACATAAGAAGTAAAATTAATCAGATCCTAAAATTAATATTCTCATCTATATTAAAATTTTATAAAGGTTGTTTCTTCTATCATATGTTGTTTATTTTTAGTTTTCTTAAAGAAATTTGGCAATTAACTTGAATGGGGTAGCTCAATGGCAAAAAATACTTACAGAGTTAATTATTATGACTTAGGTTATGAATTCGATCATCAGCAATACAAACCTTTTCGGACCATTTGGCAGCGGTGGCAAACTTACACAGATTTGAAATCCTTTCCTTTTGTTTCCACGTTTGTCTTGCTCTTAGACTTCATGGATTGGATCCCTTCTTTTTAATTGTTTTGATTTTGATGTTTTTACGTAGAAAGAAAGGTTGTAAAAAGCTTAAGGGCAATTTTGTCATTTTAAAAGACCCCTTCACCTCTCTCTTACATTTTCTTGTGTTTTAACAGCAGCAGCAAGCAAATATGGACGGAGAGATTATATAGTTTAACTCAGGCGAATCAGATATTTAATTAAACTACAGAATTATTTAGATAATTTTATCATACTTCAGAGACAAAATAATTAATTTCTCTTATTATTATCTAAAACAAAAAAAAAAATAGATTGACAATTTAAATAGAGACATCTGGAGACAAAAGTTAGAAATATAACCATGATAAACAAGATCGAAAAAATATTTGAAAAAAAAAGTTAAAAGAAGTATCTCAAAATATTATAGAGATGCATAAAAAGCGTTTAAAATAATAATAAAAATAAATAAGGCATATTTTTAAAAATATCTCACATGTGTTTGATGCTTTTCTTTTATTTAGTTGAAACCCAAAATATAATTTGATCTTATCACTAGAACATGCTTATCCATCTACTAAGGTTAATCAAACTTTTTAATAGACTAATGAGAAAAAAACAGGATTATATTTTAAAATTAGGACAGAATTAAAAAATCTTGACATTTTGTAATAGATGAACAAATGATCAATCATTGAAGATAAATACAATAAAAAAAAAAAAAACGAATAGAATATAAGGTCATCAAGGCACTGAAGGTCTAAAAATCAGGCCAAGTCCTAATCAAATTAGTGGTGTTTGCATATCCTATTTAGTAGCATTGAGCTTGAATGATATTTTGAGCTAACAATTTACAAAGCTGCCACCTCAAAAGCTATAATTAAAATTGAAATTGATTGAAAAAATAATTAAAATTTTGATTTTTATGTTAATATTATATTTTTAGAAGCTTTGTCTTGGAACTAATTCATGCCCTTCTTGTGAAACATAAGGCAGAAGAGTTTTGTTTATATGCACTAACATAAGGAGACAAAATCACATGATCATAATATATAAATATTATAGCCTAATATCATGGAAACCCTCCTCTTTGGATAATTTTGATCAAATTCGTGATAATTTTTTATGTGTAAAGGACTCGAATTTAAAATTTTTCACTCTTTATATTTTTTGCAAGACGTAGAAAGACCAAACCAAAATTGATTGGTAATCATTTTATTTAATTTAATCATTGTTTATATAATAATTTAGATTTAAAGGAAATATTTTCTAATTTAATTTGTTTCAACTTTTTTTTATATAATTTTATCTCAATAGAAAACCAAAGAGAATATCCAATGCCTTTACTCTTTTGCTTTTTGTTTTTGGTTTTTCTGTTTTTTCCTTCCTTTTCCTTCTCATTTCTACATACACAATTCAAGCGTTGGGTATGGTTGTGATTATTATTTATTCATATTTCAAAGAATGAAATGTTCTGTTCATACAATCTTTTTCAATTTTCAAAAAAAGAAGAAATGTGTTGGACTAATTATTGTTTAAATCTACTTTTTCTATTAAAATAAAGTTCTACATTTTTATTTTTGAAAATATAAAGATCAAAAGTTCTAAATAAAAACTTTTATTTATTAATATGAAATATGGAAAGATTATATATATAATTATTGTTTAAAATCCTACTTTTTCATTATTAAAAATAATTCTTACATTTTTTTTATTTTCTTGAAAATAGTAAAGAATTCAAAGTCTAAATAAAAACTTTTAATTATCTAATATGAAATATGGAGATTTATATATATATATATATATATATATATATACTATATACTATATAACTTTAGTTATAATAGTAACAAATTATTGTTGCTATATCGGCTAAAAGAGGTGCAGATGAAATTAAGCTAAGATTCTTCTTCGTTAATTAGATAGTTCTTGAGTTGACTATCTCTCTGGAGCTGTAAAAATCTCTTTAAAACACTAGGAAGGAGAGCTTTTGTACCCATTTTTTAGGGGTTCTTGTCCAGCGCGAAATTTGAATCAATCGGACAAGTGGGTGTGGGGAGATCGATGTATCAAACCAAAAAAATCATTGTTTGCTGGAGACCGATTATATCTACTTTTTCTTCCATTTAGTTCATTTCAATTTAGAAAACCGTTTGCTGTTATTTTGAAAAATTTTTTTTAATATTAATGAGATTTAAACTCTGATTTCATTCTACATAATTTATTTTTATAACACTATAATTAAGACACTAGATTGTAATATATTTTATTTATTGAAATGAATAGTTGGAATCTGTAAATTGTTTTCAATTTCTCACTAAAATAATTGTTTTATTTCATTTTATATCTAAAGCATAAATGAATAAAAAAAAAAGTCAAATTGATTAGTTGAGGTTCTACTTTTAGAGTGCTCGATTTAAGTTTGGATTAAATTAGGAAAAAACTTAAAAATTTTTCAGATTTGGTTTCCAATTTCGATTTTCTTGTCGAGCAAAAAGAAATTAAAAAAAAATTTAAAATCAAATTGAATTCAAGCTGAAAAGTAACAAAAACAGAATAATTAAGTTTAAACCATATCACTTTTTTCATCGGCCAAGCATAAATTTAATTTATTAGACAATAAAAATATTCAAGAAAAATTTAGATTATTCGAGCTTCTTGGAGTCTAAAAATTACATAGTTTCTTGTTTTATTTTTATTTTTAAAAAAAATTAAAAAATTTTTTTAATTTTAACCGATCCGATTTAGTTAGAAACTGAACCAATTAGTTTGTACTCTCTTTACTGTAATTTTAAGGCCTAAAATCAAATTTAAATTTAAATTTGGTATAGTGGCTCTTTTCAATAACTCTGAAAAAATTTATAAACATATTATATTGAAAGCGTTGGAAAATTTTTTGACCTGGTCGCCAAATTAATTAAACAAGAAAAGCAATTAAAAAAATTATGGGAACAAAAAAAAAGAAATATAATAAAATATTTTTTTATTTTATTTTTCAGTCCAATAAAGTTAGACGCTAAAATAATTTCTATTTTACAAATAAGGACATTGGATTTTGCCAGTTGAGCACGAGGAAAGTATAGAAAGATTGAGGTTTTGTGAATATATCTATTTTTTAATTTTTTAAAATTAATCAAATGTTTATATTACTGAATATATAAAAAATATTTAATATTTTTTAAAAAATTATTTAAAGAAAATTATTAAATACGATTGAGCTATCTTTTAATATTTTGCACCAAATTTTAAAATTTTATATTTATTAATTTTTAATTTCAATAACATAATTTTTAGAGTTTGTGAAAACTTTTTTATGAAATATTAATACTTTAATAATTTCTCTTCATATAGAATTAACTAATTTTATTTTATTCACACTACATTTTCATTTTTATTTTCAATTTCAATTAATTAAATAGATTAATTTACTTTTTTTTTTCATCTTTTATTACCGGCAGAGTTTATGCTATAATTTTATTTAGCGTATGCATGTGAGCCTATCTTAAATAATATATTTTATATTATATATATATATATATATATATATATATATATAATTGTATTATTTACTTTTGGACCAGCTTCCATACTCCATCTCTCCTCTCTGGATATAAAATCAAATTATGTGGTTTAATAAACATTTTCTTTTTAGATCCAACCTTTTCTTGCATTCCATGTAAATCAGCTCTTAATTTTACAATTTAACATTTTTCTTTTGTATAATCATTTAAGCAAAAATTTTTAATAAATTTATATACTAAAACATTTTAATTTAAAATATATAAAACTTTGCATATTCTAAATTTAGAAGATAGATAATAAAAAATTTAATTATAATTCGAAATTTAAGTATAATTTGATTCTAATTATGGTACGACAGTTTAACACTCTTTGAAAGCTATCTAATGGCAGAGGGAGATCAGATGAGCTCATAGAGGACTTCAAACTTTGGCCATTACAAACCAACTACTTTTTATTAAACATTTTAACTTTTAAACGTATATACAGAACATATACTAACTAAAGTGAATAGCTGGAACTTAGGCAACTAGGAACTAAACACTTCATTTACTGGAATATAAAGTATAGTTATTTTCATTGAAAATTGACTCGTTGTTAACATATGTATTTTACTCAGTGATTTTACATCGGTCGCAAATTGTCACGACATTTCCATGACCGACGGGCACTACGACCTGCGGTTGGGCTTAAGGGGCCCCCGAAACCGTAGTTAAGCCTATATTATGCAAGTACTCATTGTACTATTCATAATTGTGGAGATACAATGCCCAATTAATTTATTTCAATTTATGTATTCACTTAGTTACAGGTTCATCTACAACGCCCCACTAGAAACAATTGCGGGAACTCTATCCTGTACATTTTATAAATCCCATCAT